CCGCTTTCCTCTCCCTTGACACTTTCACTCGTTATACTTCTTCCCTCGTTCCACCACCATCCTCCCCCTCTCTTTCTCTCAGCTCTCTCTCCTCTATTCCGATTCCTTCCCTCCTCCTCCCTTCCTTCCCTCCTCCTCCCTTTATCCGCTTCCCTCGTACTCCTCTTCCCTCCCTCTCCTCTTTTTCCTCTCCCACCTCTTCTTCCTCCCTCTCCTCTTCTTCCTCCCTCTCCTCTTTTTCCTCTCCCACCTCTTCTTCCTCCCTCTCCTCTTCTTCGTCCTCTCCTCTTCTTCCTCCCCTCCTCTTCTTCCTCCCCCACCTCTTCTACCCCCCTCCTCCTCTTCCTCCCTCTCCTACCTCCCTCCCCCTTTCTCCACCCCCTCCTCCTCCTCCTCCTTCTGCGCCTTTCTCGTTTTCCTCCTTCATTGTTCCATTTTCCCCCTTTCTTCCCTCGTTCCTCGGTATGTTCCCTCATTTCCCATAGTTTCGCTAATATAATTTTATTTTTTCTCTCAAATATTTCTTCGCTTCTATTTCGCCCCTACTGCTTATGTACCTATTTTACTCCTTCTGATTACCCCTACTGATTATCTTCGATTTCCCTGGATTATATTCTGGTTTATTTCCACACATTATATCACTAGATTTTCCCCCATCGCTATCTGGTCTACCATTTTTTGTTCACTGAAAGTTTTCTGTCTCTTCAGTTCAGTTTCTTTTACAAGCACTAACATGCACCAAGCACTAAGCACTAACCTCAAGCACTAACATGATTCGCCACTTCAGTCAAGGCAAGCCTGCTCCAATTCGTAAATAGCAATATCTCTATTATTCTCCAAAGTGCATCTCATTTTGTGTAGCTTGAAGTCCGTCGTAAATATGAACGAGAGACACGAAGTATCAATTTACGCCATACTGTAATCAAATCGAGGTATTTCTATGGTCTTCTTTCTTATGGTCTAAGGTATTCTATGGCTGTTGTGGCTTCTCTTGTTACTACTCTAAGCCCTTGAGTTGATATTACTCAATTTACAAAGGCTCTGAATGCAGAGGTCAGCGTCTCCTTGGGCAAGTGACTAGGGGAGTTGAGCACCTGCGAGAGCAATTCCCTGCGATCCGCGCTGTTTCCCTCGCTTGGGAGCGCGGAGGCGTTCGACCACTTCCCTGAAAGACACTCAGGCGGGGAACACCTGTCGGCCGCCTCCTATCGATTCAGACGCGGACGAGCGCGTGTGGTCTCTCTTTATCAATGGGAGGAACTTGATCCAGATGCGGCGGTGCAATCATTTCTGGATGCATTATTCTCTCGTCAGAGGCACATACGAATTGTCGGTACAAAATATTAAGGAGAGTACATAGTGGGCACTAAAAGTGAGTGTTCCTTAAGTGATCGGTTCTTATTTATACGCAGTCCTTATTCTTAAATGAGTGTAAAATGAGTGAAAGATGGCCTCCTGCTTCCTGAAAGAGTTATTCATTTGGCTTCCTCTTAAACTGGTTAGGTCATTTTCTTACTCAGCGCTCACTTCCACTGTGGAAAATGAGGATTTCGTATAATATTTTCAATTTTATACGCAATGCATCATAAGTGTTGCAAAAAAAGAGCGTTTTTTCATTGGTAGTGTACAGTAAAAAACGATTTTGAAAGTGCACAAATAAAATTGGGCTTTCTTTGCACTAAATGTTTGTAATAAAAATTTGTAATAAATACGGTTCTCTATGAGTAATCCCTTATTTTAAGGAAAAAAATAATTGCTTGAAGATTTCCTTTTTTCATAAGTCTCTACTTTGGATTTATTATATAACTTTCCATCTTTGAACTTAAATACTTATTCGATGACTTCAATTGTTATGTGCATGTACTTCAATTGTTATGTGCGTGTATGAAAACAGTTATAACGTTATAACTTCTGTAGAATGTCTTTGCCTTCAATCCTTTTGAATCTGGAACGGAATTTGTCTGGATGAACAGTTTTGTTTACTAGTAGATAATGTGCTACTCAGCGAAGGTTTATTTTGACCATTATCATTTGCCAACAAGTCTTGTTATCAACGCCTGTTTGTAAGTTGTTCATAAAGCAGTAATTTTCAGACAAGAGCAAATTAGCTGTCGTTTTCGCTCCTCTTTATTTTCACACTTCACTTTTCACGCTTCATTTATTGTCTCTCAGGTTGCCCACTTTCCGTTGCTATTCTCTTTGACATGATCCCGATCAAGAACTTTCAATTTATCCCCGGTAATGGGTACATTTGGCTATAATTCATTAATTTTGTAAGAGAAATCAAACAATTTTTAAGACGTAATTGATCGAATATATTAACTGTTCACGTTCATCAACCTTTCCTGAACTCTAAAGACCTCGTCCCACAATTTATTTTCCAACACATTGTATTCTGTCTCATCTCACCTTTCTCGATAAATAACCATGTTTACTGACAGAATTCCACACGTTCACTTACATCATTCTGTGCATTAATTCCTCAACCCGTTGCTTGAATCAACTCAACTCGTTGCTTGGCTCAACTCGATCTATTTCTTGACTCAACTCGATCTGTTCGTTGACTCAACTCAACTGAACGAGTTCGTTGACTCAACTCAACTGAACGAGTTCGTTGACTCAACTCAACTGAACGAGTTCGTTGGCTCAACTCAACTGAACGTGGTCGTTGACTCAACACAAGTCAACCTTTTCGTCGACTCAACTCAACCTGTCCGTTGAACTCTTGTTCCTTGACTGACCTGCGCTGCGCAACCTCCCGTCCTCGGCGTGAGTCCCGCGCGCCCCCGCTTGCCGCTTGGCCGCGCGCCGCGCCGCGCCCGCCGCCGCGCCGCGAGCCCCGCCCTCCGCCCTCGCGCGCGCTGCTGCGACGGTGCAGGCGTCGGTGCGCAACAGGCCCGAGCAGGCGTCGGGCGCGGGGGGCCCGGTGTGCGCGCAGGTGGAGACCATCGGCGACGCCTACATGGTGGTGTCCGGCGCGCCCGAGAAGGAGCCCAACCACGCCGAGAAGGTGTGCGACATGGCCCTCGACATGGTGGAGGCCATCACCGACCTCAAGGACCCCTCCACGGGTGAGATACGCGCGTGAGATACAGACACACTCACATTCACACAGTTGCGTTCTCAGTGGCTTGCTTGTCCGCTCGCTCGCTCACTCACTCACTCACTCAGTCACACATTCACTCACTCTCTTTCTTTTTCTCACTCATTTATTTACTCACTCATTTATTTACTCACTCATTTACGTCTCTCGCAACTCATTTACTCTATCACTCTTTACCTTCACTCATTTACCTTCACTCTTTACTTCTCTCCTTTCATTTACTCTCTCACTCATTTACACACTCACTCACCATTTACTCAACTGTCACGTCACTCATTTACCTACTCTTCACTCATTTACTACTCATCCTCATTTTAACTCACTCACACAGTCATTTACTATCATTCATTTACTTGCACTCACTCACTCTATTTATCACTCACCTCACTCATTTCTCACTCATTCTTTACTCAATCATCCTCCATTTTACTCTCACTCATTCATGTTGCTCACTCTCAACTCATATGTGGTCATCACTCACTCATTTGCCTCTCAATCACTTTACATATCTGCATCTGAACGCATAACCTGCTCCTTCTTCTCTCTTCTCTCTATCAGTCTCTTCTCTCTCTCTCTTTTGAACATACTGCGCTCAACTTGTTTTAGCTAAGACGTTAAAATTATTTTTAAGTTTTAGGTATTCAGTAAAATGCGTGATTGCCAACAAGTTTTCAGAGATTTATATTTTATAGCTTATTAAATCAACACTTTAACAAGGAAGTGAACATTAATATTTTAATGCATTCTCATTTATTTTTTACAAGTCTTTGTTTTATACGTGTAGGTACGTATATAAACGAACGATCATTTGGGTGGAAACTTTTCTACACACAGTCCATTCCTTTGTTTTCATTAGGTGATGTCTGACGATGGCACTGGAACTCCCAGTTATTTTCCCGGATTACCATACAGGTCATTATTATCATAAATGTCATTGTCCACAGTGGTAGTGAGCCCCGCATACCAACATAACCTAACCTGGTTAAAGAGGAGTCCGAGCACTTCGCAGACGGACTCGTGGTCGCATAGATCCAACCTATCCACCAGACTCTGCTTGGCCGGTCTATGGAAAACGCGCACTAGGAATCTTTGATTTCTAACTGTAAATAGACGCCATATTGTGCAGTTAGCAGCAGCAATTACCACAGACGATATGTTTTGAATGTGTATTTCATTTTACGAAAAAGCGGCAGATAGAATTTTTATTTTTTCGCTTAAAAATAAAATCGGTAACAAACCATGTCCAACGTCAGATTTTAGGAATACATTAATTATTTATACGACGTGACGTGACTGAATGAATATATTGTTAGGCAAAACTTGTAATTAAATTTATATTACTTTATATACTGATATATGAATAGTTTTTAATGTGCGAGAATGCAAGTCTCAATATGTCGTTACATGTAAAACAACGTGTAAAGATGCATTACGCATGAACTTCTTCAAACAATCACTGAAACAGGCAAACGTGAACGTAAAAGTGTACATATTTAAACGAATGCTATGAAAAATGTGGTTAAAACGCTTGAGATCTGTAGCTTGCTTACGTAAAACATGCCTGTGCAAGGACATCCTGTTTGTGATGATTGAAATGCTAGTTCGATGTGCCAACAGCTGACAGCCTGTGGAACTGTGTGGCAGGGACGCACCTGCAGATCCGCGTGGGCGTGCACTCGGGCGCCGTGGTGGCGGGCATCGTGGGGCTGAAGATGCCGCGCTACTGCCTGTTCGGCGACTCGGTGAACACGGCGTCGCGCATGGAGTCCACGTCCGAGGGCATGAAGATCCACATCTCGCAGTCCACGCGCGACCTCCTCGGCCCCGCCTACCGCGTGGCGCCCCGCGGGGAGATCTTCGTCAAGGGCAAAGGTTTGCTTCACCCCATCCCCACCCCCACCCTTCTCATTATCCTCCTCCTTCGTCCTTTTACCTCTTTCCTCTCTTCCTCCTCCCCTCTTCCCCCTCCCCTTTCCTCCTCCGGTTCCTCTTCCTTTTAATTTTTCTTCTTCCTCCCTCTCCTCCTCCTCCTCTTCATCCTCATTTTTACTTTCTCTCATAGTACTTACATAGTAGAAAACGTATTAATGAAATTTTTACAAATAAAATATTGAAAAGATCATTTTCATAATAAAATCTGTTCTTCAAAAACTAGATCTTTAAATGAGATCTTAATAAAAACAATCTTTTTCAAAAAAATGAGTGAATCTCATGTAATATTTGGGTGCTATAAAACAATTTTAAAACTAAAATTTCAGAAAAACAACTCCAATTTTATTTATTTTTTCTCGGATAGTGAGAAGTATGTTTATAAAAACGGCACAGGACCTACTTTCGTTAAACTCTCCAAATTTACGAAAATTTCAAAAGTTACATATAAGGTGAGAGAGTATGTGCTGGTGTGGCTTGCGGTCTCCCGCTACTTTTGAACTAATAATACGACTTCGAATTTTCGTCCACGTATTTTTTATTTCATTTTTGCAATAATTTATTGTAAACTTTTTACTGTCGAAATTTATTGATTTAATGCCTTTACTGAAATATTTTATGATCGTAATTATTTTATTGAAGTTATTGTATTATCGTAATTATTTTCTAGTATAAACTTATTGTTCTGATTCTTGCTTTAATATTTTCTTCTTCCCTTTTTTGTCTTCTCGTTATCTTCGTTCTTCGTGGATAAAGTTTTTCGTGAGTAGTGTATGCTATCTTCTTTTCGTGCTTCTTGTACATCCCTACAAATATGTTGGCGGCCAAATTTATGCAATTGCTACTCGGGTTTCCTAACAATCACAACGCCACACACACTAACTTTACGAGCCTCCATGCTATACGTGCAAAAATACAAACGCCGCTAAAACCCTTTGTAATAGTTTCGTCAACATAAAGCATGCATGAAAGCCAATACGTGAAGTAAAACAATTCGTAACAATCGTGCAGCGCAAATGTTATTGCGGCAAACATTTTAAAAGAATAGTCACAAGAAATTACACAATAAATTTTGCTTTTTAAAATTTTATTATTTTGCATGCCCTTTATCGGGGTCCCATACCTAATATTAAATGTATGGATGGGCCTTGGCAAGTTATGGAGGTGTATAAAAATCTGTGCAGATGCCGTGATGGCGTCCGATCGCACTTAATCACTCAGCGGTGACTCGTTAGGGACAAATATAGAATTTGCCTCTGATATTTACTGCAGCTGGAGAGTCTTTTATAAATGTGCTTGCTGTCAGCGCTCCACTGAGTCGTGTCATTTACACAAGCTCATTCAGGGCTTTCGGAAGTGGTTAGAGTATTCAAACAAGTCTCTTTTAAACATTACTCACAGCTGAAATTGTAATAGAGCCGGACCCAGTGATTTGGGGATTAGCACACCATGTTTTAAAACTGAAGTTTGCGAAATCAATTACAAATGTGGTGTTTAGATGTTCGATGGGTGGCATGCAACATTATGGCTAAATGTTCCTCAAAATTAAATCACCAAACAATTCCCGTCCTAATTAGATAGTTTATGGGACGTTGAAAAACTACTATGACAAAAGTAAAAGCAAATTAAAATTAAAAAAAGTAAATAAATTATATTTAGTATTCGCTGAGCCATTACGTAAGAAACGGACAAATATGAATGATATTGTTGTTGTGCCGTTCTCTGGCGGCTAGTATGGTAGTAAAAATATTGAAGTTTACATTTAGCGCCGATGTGGTGCCAAAACGGATATGCTCACCAATGGGGAATAGATGGGGAATATCCCCATGTGGTGATTGGCTAATGGATGAGTATCACAGGCCGGTATTACACAACAAAAACAACATTGTTGAAATATACTAATTTGTGCTTGTGTCTAACATTTTTCTCGATTGTAAAAGACAGTAGAGCAAAGATTCCTAACCAATAATAACAGACAGTGGCTCGTGGACCATGTGAGAAACTCCATGTAAGAGTCTCCACTATCGTCTCCATGAGTACGGTTATTCCCAAGATGCTGTTCAAAGTTTGAAGGATTTGAACGTTAACACGGTAACAAATCTTTGCCGTAGACTTTAGTTACTACTATAAAAAATAGTCAAAAATACATGAAGATACAGTATATATTAATGCCTAATAATTAGGGGATTGATAAACATGCTTTGGTGATGTATGATTTCTGCATTTGGATTTACAATAATAATGGTAATAATAATTATAATAAATTAATAATAATATTTTTCATTTTACAATGTGGAAGTAATTGTAAGTTTTGACGATCGTTTAGGAATCATCATTTATAACAATCTCTTTTACTACTCTATGTCCCATACGTGACATTAAATGTCATATGGATAGATCTTGTCAAGCTGGGAGGTGTATAAAAATCTATTTATACGGGATTGTAACGGTAGTGGGCAATTGTAAAACAAAAAAGAACTTGCAAACATATTGCTACGTAATTGTCCAAACTTACAACTGAGACCAGAGAGTGAAATGTAAAATGTAAATGTTACAGAGCTCTTAACTCCTAAAAGCAGCTCCACGCTAGCGAGTTAATGTAAACAAACACCTTTACGTAAAATTAATAACAATAATATGATATTTGGCTGTCTAGGATGAACCGCGTCGCAGTCGGTCGAGCTGGCGTTTCGAGCTCGACCGACCGTGACGCGGCTCATTCCGCACAGCCAAGTATCAAACGTCCGCAGAAGCTTACGAATCCAATAACAATAATATAATTTAAGGTGACACAACGTTTACTAGGCTAACCCCTCTTCCCCCTGGATTGCCTGTTCCCGGCCCCGCTAACCCGAGTGCCCGTGCGTGCGCACGCGTGCGCAGGCTCCATGAAGACGTACTGGCTGGAGCGGCGCGACTTTCGCGTGCCGCTGGCGCGCGGCTGCTCGGCGTCCGGCCTGCGGGCGCACCGCGACACCGTCACCACGCCGCACGACCTGCCGCCGCCGCCCACGCGCACGCCCACGCCCGCGCTCACGCCCGCGCCCGTGCCGGTGGCCGCGCACGCCACCTGCCAGCCTACGTGCGCTGCCCGCCGCCCTGTGCGCGGCCCTGCGCCGCGCGACGGGCGGCGGCGGCGGTGGCCGGCAACCCTGCGCCACCCCCGCGCCGCGCGCCCGCGCCGCGCGCCGCGCCAAGCGGCCCGCCCTCGCCCTCCCGCACCTGCCCAGCCGCCGCGCCCCGCGCCGCCCCGCGAGGAGAGGCGCGTCTACTCGCCCGTCACCTTCCAGGTAGCGCCTGCCGCCGCGCGCTCTGCTCCTAGAATTTGTGGCCCGATGATGCCTTTTGAAAATAATGGCATGGCTTTCTTATATTTCCCATTTCTATGTCTAATATTTTCAAACTATTAGGAAATTAGTTCATATCTAGATATATTGGAATGATTATGTCTATGATCTCATCCGAAAAATAAGCAGTCGTAATGTAATGTTATTACTAGATAATCTCCAGCTATTTTTTTAAATTCCAGACATAATGATCTCCCTAGTAATAACTTACTATTCGCTTTTAGATTCAATTATGGCCACATGCGTTTCAAGCTTTACGCACCCTGGTTCTGCGAAAGGAGTATAATCAAATTCATGACTCCGATGAAAGGCGATTAAATAAATCTGCGTCTTGTAGAGCTGTCGACTACACCGTAGAACAAACTTTTTCAATTAAATGTGTTCAACGAATTGTCACCGCACCCGGGAATCGAAGACGTGACTCCTCATTTACATCCTCCTACCACTAAGATACCGAGACGACCAAATTATTTTAACAAATTTAGTTATTAAAATACATCTCTTACACAGTAACAGTATCACATCATGGGAAAAGTTACTGTGCGGAACATATTTTCAACGAAATTGCCTCTCCAATAAGGTGACAAGACAGTTACAACTGAAACACACACACACACACACACACACACACACACACACACTTCGTTGACTTCGAATTGGGTAGCTAACGGACTTTACAAGTTGAACCTTCGTTTGCGCTATGGTCCAGCTATGTAAAGCGAACGCATTCCTCGGGCAGTTGATATGTCCCGGTGGGAGCGAGCGAAGTGTGCGAGCGCGCGTGTGTGTGTGTGCGTGTGACAGGACGTGGCGCGGAGGAGCATCGGCGGCTCGCCCCTCAAGTCCGGCGCCATCGCCCTGGGCGCCGTCTCGTGCGCCGCGCTGCTCATCACCCCCAGAGGTAAGCGCTCACCCGCCGCCCCTACCTGCTTGGCTTTCTCCTTTTCATTTCATTTTCCTTTACTTTCTTTGATTTCTTTTTTCTTTTCCCGTTTTTTCGTGTCTCTTCTTTATTTCTTTTTTTCCCCGATTTTTCTTTTCTTCTTCATTGTTTCTTTTTTATTTTACCGTTTTCTTTCTTTTTTCTTCTTTGTTTCTTTTTTCTTTTCCCGCTTTTTCTTTTCTTCTTTTTTAGTTTTCCGCTAGCGCTTCCGCAGAATAGAGAAAGTGTTGGAATATTGTGGGGGAAAAAACTACAAATTTTCGACAGGAAACTCTCATTGTCAGGCCCTGGTAACGAAAATGTGGATAAATCTTGTCCATATATATACATTAGTAAATTACTTCCTCTAACACGTTATGTATTCAGAATACTTGTTTTGTATATCTTTTACACCGAAAAATCGATTGACAGTAAGTATTTAACCAGCTTTCCATGCCTTCTTATTTGCTTTCTTCTTTACTTTTCTATATTTCTTGCTTTATTTTCTACTTTTCTTTTTTTCTTTTCCAATTTTCTTTTCTTTTTCTTTCTTTACATCTTCTTTCCCTCTTTTCTGTCTTCATTCTTTCTTTTTTAGGTCTTATTTTCTCCTTATTTTTTTCTCAATATCTTCGAGATGGACACGTAGGCTTCCGCGGCTCGAGTCCATTACTTCTAGGCTGTCCGGGTGACGCCGCGTCGTTGGCAGATAGGCCGACGTTTCGCCTGTCATGTCGCAGGCTTCTTCAGGATAGTGACACAGTAAAGCTCCGCCTCCGGTGTTATATCTTTTTCAGCTATAGCTCATCCCGGGGCCCTCACCCTGACAGCCTAGAAGTAATCTTCGAGATGGCTCAGGGCATCCATTGATATGACTGTAGTGCCTCTGACTGAGAGGTCCTAGAATTCTAGTCCAGACGGTGACAGGATTTTCGACACTAGCTGAATAGCTAGGTCGAGTTCAGCTGCTGTCTCGCGGAGAACTATAGCGGCTGGCTGCTCTGATTGGTAGTTTTCCGTGGTTTTCTCAATCAAGGCTAGCTGAATACCGGAGCAGTACCCTAACACAAGGACCACTGACCGCAATCGACATTTCCTTCTTCTTCTTTGTCCTGTTCTCGACCCTTACTACATGCACTAACACTTACATGTACTACGCTTAATCATGCCCCTTTGGTGGAAGATACCTTTGCGAGGAAAATCCCGTAAGCTAACCGGTAGGTCGTAGCTGGATTTTGACCTTCAGCGGGGAATATCTTGTCAATCTCCCGCGACAAAACATACACTACACTTACGGGAATGATCTAGTAGGTGACGTGCCCGAAAGCATTTATCAGTCAATCAATTTACGTATATATTTTCTTTTTTTATTTCTACTGTGATGCTTTTCTTTTCCTATTTTTTTTTTCAAAAATATAAAACTAAAACAATTAACGAATTACAAAACTTGCTTTTTGCAAATGTTTGTAGCTTTATAAAGTAGGCAATGAATCACCGCACAAAATGTGTAGTTGTTGCATTGTAAAATTTCTCCCAATTGCCCCTGTTATCAACCTCGATAATTGCATGCGCAGGGCATGCAATTACCCCCAAGTGCTGGTCAGGGTCTCCTGTCGCTGCGGTGCATTCCGGTCATGCGGGTTGCCGCACGCGCCTCCCAAGGTCGCTCTGCTGTGTGCATCTGACAATGAGAGCTACCTGGTTTTAGATTTTAAGCCCTGAGTGGTTTTAACCATTCTTTAACATCAGCATTTTTTAACATTTTATCGCTAAATAAACTTGTCATAAATTATTTCCTCGTAATATGTTTTTTAATAGTTCGTACTATGAAGACGAACAATTATATTTCCAATTCTTCATTTAGTCCAAATTCTTGAAAGTTATGTACCAGGTATTAAACATTAAAAATCAAATCTAAAACCCACATTCCCACTATTTTTAGTGCGTCAATGAATTTTCAATGTTCTTCCCTTCATAATTTACATATACAATTTCTTTCTTCTTCTTGTTCTTCTCCGTTGTCATTTTTCTACTCTTCTTTTCCTGTTCCTCCTCTTCATATTATTCTCTTTTTCCCTTTTCTTCTTTTACACCCTCTCTTCCCATTCTAACACTACTATTATTTTCTTCTTGTTATTTATCCTATTTTTCTTGTTCTTTTCATTCTTCTTTTCATTGATCTTTTTCTTCTTTATTTAAATCAATTCTCTTCTTATTAGGCAGATATCTATATTATTTCTCCCGTACTATCATTTGTTTGGGTATTTATTTTTCTCCAAGTTGTTTTCATTTTAGGCTTCCATTATTCGAATAATTCCAATTTCATGCTTCCAAACTGCAGATCCATTGATGATTGAAAGCTGGTCATAAAATAAAAATATTAGTAATGTAACAACTTGTGCCGATCTGGATGGCTGTATTGGCTAGAGCGTGTGCGGACTCAGCGACTCGGTCGGAAGGGTCGCGGATTCGAGTCCCAACGAGGGCATGGTTGGCTGTCTCTTGTTTTTCATGTATGTATTGTCGTGGAAGTTCTTGTGAGTCTGCTGTCCACAAAGGGAGGATCCCGAGGAGCCCGCAAGTGTGTAAAAGGTTAATGTGTCCTCATGAGGAACATAGTTGGCACCGGGTGTGGATAGCCGAAATCGGTATCCTCTGAATGCTGGGAAAAGCGCCCGAAAAAAGTAATGTAGCAATTTGTACTTCAATATTTGTACTTGTGGGCATTTATTGGCTGTGTCGTGTTGCGCATGCGCAGGCACCCGCTCCAACTCGGTGGCCCCGCTGCCCTCTGGGCCCCCCCGGGCTTTTTTGGCCCCGCGCGTCGTTCGCGCCTCGCCCGCGACGCCCGCCCGCGTCGCCGCCGCCGTCCCCCACGTCGCCCGCGTCGCCCACCTCCTCGGCGGCGTCGTCGTCGCTGCGGCGCCAGCGCGCGTCCTCGCTGCGCCTGCACCGGCGCTCCGTCAGCCGCGCGCCCTCGTGCTGCGGAGGCCGCGCGCCGTCCTCTCCGCCGCCCCCGCGCCCGCCGTCGCCCCAGCCCCCGCCGCACCGCTCCCGCGCCCACGCTCACGCCCACGCCCACAGCCGCGCCCGCGGCTGCGTCCCGGGCGCGACCCCCGCGGCCTCCGACGCCCTCCGCGCGCAGCAGCAGGCTGCGCGCCAAGCCGCGCCTGCACAGCGCCTCCTGCGCGCTCGTGTGACGGCGCCCGCCACCGCCTGCGCCTGGCTCTGCTGCGTCTGCGCCAGCGTCGACGCCGCCCCGCCGCCCCCCCGCCCTCGCCGCCCGCCCGCGCGCCCTTGACACGCTGCCTTCTGCCCTCGGACCGCGGAGCACGCGTGCAGGCTGGGCGCGCGGCAGAACTCTTGACTGGACTGTTCCAAGTTGTCTGTTTCCGATACAAGGTGCAGAGTTCTTTCCATCTTTGGAGTGCTCATGGAAGAAAGGCACCCGAGAGTGTTCTTAATTTTGGGGTTTGGACTGCTCTGTTCCTGACAGAAGGGTGGCGTGTGGGCTCACGAGACAATTTTTGACAGCTCTGAGTTTTCTGTTTCCGATTCAAGGTTCAGAGTTTCTTGCATCTTCGGAGTGCTCATGGTGGAAAGGCGTACGAGAGAGTTCTTAATTGATCGGTATTGAAATCTGCTCCTGACACAGGGTCAGAATTTCTCCTATCTATAGTGTGTTCGTGGATGCTAGGCACATGGGAGAACTGTAATAGTTCGGTTCTGAGCACACTGTACCAGACACAAGGTTCGGGGTTTTTGGGGGTACTCGTGGAAGGTAATCGCACGACGTAACACTTAACTATTTGATTCCAAGCTCTGTCCCCCG